ACGACGAGGACGACGAGGACGACGAGGACGACGAGGACGACGACGACGACGACGACGACGACTACGACGACGACGACGACGACGACGACGACGACGACGACGACTCCAATGATGATGAGAATGATGAGGAAGTCTTGGAACAATAAATCAAACACAGGCAGAACAGAAACAGAATAAATCATCAGAAACAGGTAAGAAAAGATTGGTTTGATTGAAACACTTTAGAGAGAATTTAAGCCAGGTGCCTGCGCGTGGGACCGGTGCAGGAGCTGCTGGACATTTCCAATGGCCTTGGCAGGTCAAGGTTGAGTTTTCGTACTACTACTGCTGCTGCTGCTGCCACCGGCTACTTCGGAAATTGGTAGCTATTGGCGCTTCTAGCTGAAGATTGCAGTTCAAATGATGTAGATTCATGGGCTACTCTCGCTTGAAAACGTGCGGCTGACAGGAACTGCTGGAGCATTGGGGGCTGAGATTGTGAGTCCCAAAACCAACACGAAGTCTGAGCGGAAAGAATTCAGTCAAATGTCACAAGTAGGCAGACCCAAGAGCCTAAACCAGCAAAGCGAAGCGATTACCCAAATTGAAAAGCCTCATGGCCCGTAACAGCCAGAACTGCATCCACGAGGTACATCAGCTATCTGTGGGATGTTGATTGTTAGGATTGGGAGCGCTTCCCAGCAGGCGAGGGGAATAACAAGCGAGCGCATGTCCTTGGTGCAGTTGCAGTGTGGAGGAAGAAGCACCCTGCATGAGTTGCATGATTGCATTGTCAGGCTTGCGTCGAGTACTAGTTCAATTCCATGAAGTTCCAGAGGTCTCTCGAAGCAGTGGATAGTACCTGCGCATTGATTTTACGAAAGTAATGAATGCATCTTCGTGCCAGAGTCTTTACGAATGCGGCAGCGATCAATCTGCCCAAAAGTTGGAAACAAGGACGGATGGCACGGTCGCCCCTAATCCACGATGTCAGCCCATAGATCTCAAAACTAGAGCCGCGTCTCAAACGAGCCCAGACCTCTGAGGTTCAAGTGCTCAAGTCCGACCGCAGGATTTCAAAGGAAGCAGAGAAATTAATATCCACAACAGCTTCCATATGATGGACTATGGCCGAAGGCAGCCAGGGCGCCGCATTGTGTGCCATCGTCCGTTGCTGGCTTTGCACCTTGGCAGAAGCACCAGCTCCCAAAAGGATCTGTTTTCAGCAGAATTGTCTGACGTGTTCGGAAAGGGGTGACGAAGTCTCTGTGAAGTCACGCCCCCACGGCAGTGTAGACCTAGCTTTGTTTTACACAAGGTCTGGCAGGTCATGTGGTGACATCAAGGTTTTGACCAGGACGGACTTTCAACCCTGGAATCTTTCAGAATAGTGTCGCATAGCCTTGACGGAGGAAGCCCTACCTGAGTGCGCTTTAGTAAGACCCCAGTACTCGAAATGGGTCCAAGCGGAAGGATCCCCTACACCCTTGACCGGCTTCCGACGCCAAGTTTGCAAGGACGTTGCCTGTTGAGGCCTCTGACCGGACTAGGTTTCGACCTCAGCGTCCTAGAAGTTCGTATAGACTAGAGAAACAAGAGCATTTCACCACCCTTTTTTTCCATATCATCTCCTGCTTCGTTTAGCTACTTCTCCGGCCAATCCTGCTGGGATCCTGGCTGGTTGCGCCCGTCCTGCCAGCAACTTTGTGCAAGCAGAGTAGCTAAGATCTTGAGGATATGAACTTTGCTGCAGCAAAGTATCTTGTGCTACATGTCTATCATGAATATCATTGTCATGCATCAGAACTATGTTGACCCAATTTTGGCCCTTCACAGAGTTCATGGGATGAGTGAGAATAAGAGGTGCTGGGGCCTCATGCCTGGGCAACGTCACAGAGGAAAGCTGAAAAGCTCTCGTCATGATGTCCTTTTGATCCACTTGGGTGGCCTTCTACATCAGCGTTCCTTTTTCTTCCGACATGTCTGAGATCTTTGAGATTATTGCTGCTATTACCGTTACCATGGTCATCATACTGTAGATGTTATTCTGACTAGTGGCCCTACTACGTACAGCCATTGCCCATTGAAGTTTCTGAAGCTCTCAGACTTGAAGGCTCCGACCACCAAGCTTGACTTAACATCACTCGATATGCGATGATGTTTGGATTTCAGGGAAAGCAGGTCAAAATCTGGATCAAGTCGAGATTACCACGATGGCTCTGGTGAAGCCATGGGTCTAAAACAATGTGGACACTCTTCTCTGTGGCAAGTTAGCCCATCAAATGCGAAACGTCCTTGCTGAACTTGGAAGAGTTAATACTTCCTGGAATAATTCTTCAGCCACATTGATGGATCTGACCCAATTCTAGAAACTCAAGAAGCTGGCGCTTCTCAAACCTGCATGCCCAATGAAGGTTGCATGCTCAAATTAAGCACCCGACATCTAAAGACTCCAGAAGCTCCGCACTTCTCAAACTCTGGGTGCACATGCAAAGGGATGTGAAGCAAAGGTATGTATAAGGCATGGGGTCCAAGCAGCGCAGCCTCACAAGAATGCTAACTGCTAACATTATCTCAGAAAATAAAGAGCCAATCCCACCTACACACCCCACCTGGGGTTTAGAACTCTCGCCTGTTAACAAAAACTTACAAACCCCACGACCGGATGAAAGTTGATGGCTTCATCAGCCACCAGAGGATGTTTAGAGTTGAGGGTAGAAGCTAAGGAATTAGCTACAAACTTCAGCGGGGGCTTGTAACTCTTGCTTGGCGCTGTCCACTGAAAACTACAAACCCCACGACCGGATAAAAGTTGATGGCTTCATTAGTCACCAGGACACCCTGAAGTGAGGGATCTTGAGGTTTGTACTTGTACACATTTCCTTAGACATTACGACCTGCCACACAACTGAAACAACTACTATGATGAAATTGCTCTGCGAGAAGTAGAAACTCGGAAACCTGGCAACTCCAATTCTGGCATCTGCGATCCAAGGAGAAGGTGGCCTACATCAACTCAATAGCAAAAAATCCAGATGTCTTGCGGCAATGGGTGTCTCCAAATGCATTCACAATCTTCTGGCCCTTTAGCTTGAAGGCTTCCAATTTCACGGCACCGCTCGAACCTCGCACGTGATGTACGAGAACTGCCCGCGCCACAGGCTGGGAAGACTCCTGCTTAGACTTGGAAATCCCTGAGATTGAAATGCTCGTGGAGTAATCAGGGGATCCCTACTGCAGCTTGAGATGTGAGCACGCACGTGCACTTTTGCAGGCATTCTCCTGCCCAGGATGGCTAAAGTGGCTAAAGGTTGACGGATGAGTAATGTTGGGAGCTGATGCTCCAACCGATACAGGCCACCTCTCTGCGTAGAGCTTCTGCTATCAAGAAGAGCCACACTTGGAGTATCCCTGGGGGTTCCTGCAAGAAAAATTCTAATCAAATCGCGATCCACACGCTCAGCTGCTGTCGTCTGAGGCCCTCAGCCATGTCCTGCGAGGACTTTGGTCTTGGTGGCTCTGCCAGCCAAGCATCTCGCAAACACTCCTGTGCAAGGGTTCGTGGTGGCTTTAAGACATTAGCTTCAGGCTTAGAGGTCTCCAATCATCCAAACCCAGAAAAATCGATCAGACATCGCGAAACCTGAGAAACGCTCCAAAGCAAGCGTTACACCCCTGAAGTCCATTGCTCTACGGCAAAGAAAGCTCTGCTGTTTTGGCCAGCATCTTGGCTTTGATTTAAGGTTTGGGCAAGAGGAAATGAATCTTAGAAGGGACGACGCAATTTGCGTTGGCTTGATCGCATCCAGGACTCACATCAAAGAAATTTCACAAGCACAGCAACTCCCATGGCTGTATAACTTCATGTCTCGCTTGCCAGACCGCATCCCCCTCGCCCCTTCAACCAGGACTGCTCTAGTCCGGGTAACCAGGGCATAAAACACCAACTGCCAAGTATGGATGACAGGAATTTGACTTCGGGTCTTATCTGTCAAAATGCGACTGCAGAAATCATGCCACATAACTTTCTCGGTCGTTGCACAGAACTCTCGCTAGCGAACACTGGACTAGAATGACTAGAAACCCCAAGTCCCAATGAAACAGTCGAGAGGATGACCTGGGCATCTGGACGATCATACTCGTTGACCTTGCACTGGCCAGCACTTTTGAGGGTATTCTTGTTCGCCCGAAGCTGGAAGCATAGCCATGTCTATACCAATCTGGTAGTTTGCCGATTGACGAATGGAGGACCGTTTGATAAGAAATCGAGGGGGAAGTAGGCCTTGTGCTGTGTAGGGAAACGATGAGGAAATCTCCCATCAGACTTGAAAAGTAGACTGTGGGCTCTGCTTCACCGCTGCAAGCCCTGGATCTCTTGCCGGGTTAACAGTTGAAACCACAACGCTGGGGAAAGGAAGGGTATCCACATAGACTAAGACCCCAAAGACATAGACTAAGACCGCAAAGACAAAACGACACCACTCAGCCATTGAAAAAGACTTGAAATCAGCCAAATGCTGAGGGCAGGGCCGCCAGCATCCGTGACACAAGGCGTTGCGCACCAGGCTCTTTCTCGAAGACGGCGTGGCTAAAACTGACCCTGCATCAACAGAATTTCCCGGGGCTGCAGAACAGGCTTGCACCAAGCTCAAAGATTGAGTCGTGAATATCTTGACGTGGTTGCAGCTGTCAACATCATATTCACATGCGGAGCCTCGTGGTTGTGAAGCTTCTGAGGTCACTGCTGCTGCATCATGCCGGTTGCTGTGTTGCAGGAGCCTATCCTCAACCCAGCGATAGCAAAGCTGTAAGCGTGCTAAGCAGAACTCCCCACTTGGATCTCAAACACATCGTACATCCCCCAAATAAATATTGAAATACAGGGCCCGCCGACTGAAGAGCGTGCCCACTCAGACAGCTTGCTAGCAGCCTTCCTGCATCATGCTGCCCAGCTCAACTCGCCAATTTTCTCTCAGGCGCGCCGGAATCCTATACAGAAACGTGACCGCGGCGTCGCATCCAGCATCTTCGTGAATCTTAAGCTTACCTTAACTCCAGCCCAGGATGCCTGGGCCAGGAAAGCTTGCTAACTGGACATGCGCAGGCACGTGGGATCTCTCAGGATGAAGCTTATAGCTTATAGAAAACTCAATAGCTCCCATAATCCCTTTCTAGTTCACGAGCTCTGAAGTTGTCATTCCCAGCTAGGCCCGAGGCCAGGCTACAGCGATCAGATTCACTACAAGTAGAACGGATCAGCAATCACAAGCCCAATACAAGCGCCCATTGACTGTGAACTTGAAGTTAAGCCCGAGGCCTCTAATCTCTTTTAGGGCCTTGCTACTTGACTTTTGCATCTTGGCAGTGAATTTTCAAACTATCAGATGCTACCTACCTGTTTGTTGTCTTAGTCTTGGAGCCGGGGGAAACAAGACCTGACGCCATCTTGTGACACGTTCTATCGCCACTTTCCCCAAATCTAAAAACGAAATCTGGTTGTACAGCTTCTTATATAAGCGTGGAAGGTTCTTAGGGGCTCCAGTACAACCCTTCCAAAAACTTGCAGAACCCAAAAGAGCCCATAAAGAGCTTTGTTGATGTTTTTCAGCTTAGTTTACGGGAGGGCATCTTAATCCACACAGTTGCTCATCTTACGCTGGACACGATCCGGCCGCTGGGGTAGCTGCTCCGCGCACTCTGCACTTGAGCCTGGAGGAAGTGCCTGGGAAAGGAGAAGTCAACAGCTCTTGGAGTAAACGATTTTGGCACTCGGGATGCCGGAGAGGAAAGAAGCGTGAACTAGATAGTTGTCTCCGCGAGAAGTAGATGAGATTCAGGTCTCTCTTAGGTGCCTGAGGACAGAAAACGTCAGTGCTTCAGTTCTGGAGCTTCAGGATACCGCATAACGGGGCACAAAAAGATTGCATGGATGCATCTGCTGGGAATAGCCTTGGCCTTGTCTTTTTTGCAGCCAGGATGCTGTACATGTTGCCAGCTGGTGGGCGTGGTCGGAGCAGCCCGCTCTGGTGTCAACCCCAGGTTGGTGCTTGGAGCCATCCTCCTGAGCTACTCAACCATCTTTTAATACAAGCAGCTTGCAACATAGCCATGGGACAAAGCATGTTCTTCGTGCACCTAGACATATGGAGGAGTTGATGGGTCAATCCTGCGAATCTTTGTGCGCAGCAAACTACAACAGTCGGAGACCCCATCTCTAAAGATTGTGATTGTGGTCAGGCTACACACTTCATCGAAACACGCTTGTCCACTACTGGGATTGCTCCTACCATTGCCACCAGTACCCCAACAGCCCCCAAACAGCTAGACCCTTGACCCCAAACCCTGAACCCTAAAAGCCAAAACCCGAAGAGCTTTGACTGAAAACTGCATCCAGAGTTGCGACGTGGGCAGAGAGCTCGGCACGGAACGAGGCACGGCTTTGGCCTGCGCAGCTTCCAGCTGCCTGGCGCTCTGAGCAGTCGGGTACCTCAAGCTCAATCCCTAGGGTTTAGAGGGTTAGGGTAGGAACATGTAAAAGGCACGCTGGGAAAACAGTGGATTCAGAAGCAACACTTAGCATCAAATAAGAAATTATCAGTGAAGCGTAGGCGCGAACATTGCTTCCAAATATCCTGACATCCTGAGGACCTTGGGCTTTGACTTGCAGGTTTCCTTGTGACTCCTCGATTGAACTCTTTTTCAAAGTCCAAGATGCCGCTCCCAGTTCGTGAGGACATAGTCCACGTGAGCTGGATACAGCCTTAAAGCGGCAAGCGCAGTTGCGAAGAACACTCAAGAATAGTTGCAGTTTGTGAAATGGTAGAGCGTTCTTATGAAACAGGAAGCTAGACAGCAACAGTCTGACCATCCCACAAGACATAGACTGGCAGCTGAACTTCAGCTGGCAAGTCAAGGTTCCTACGAAGCACAACCGGCAACACATAACAAGTGAAACCAAAGACTTTAGATCACAACGCTTCACAACTACGTCCTGCTGCTATATACCTGGCAAAGCCCAACAAACCTTGGTGCGCTGGATGAGAATAAACAGGCTGCTCCCTGTGCCCCCATAATGTGTTATGACTTGCCGTTGAGGCCACATCCCTTGCTTGGCTCAGGCACCAAACACTGGCCTGGACATATTCTTTTGTATTGGACCAGGAGAGGGGTGCAGCCTGTGTGATTGAGCCATAAGGAGGCCAAAGCCTTACCTTATATTGGGGGCTAGGGCTATAGTACCCCAATTATGCATACTACCCAGGAGACGGCCATCCTCCAACCCAATGGCTCAGACCACATACTTCCGTCCACCCTCAACGTTCCACCTTAGAACGACCCTCCGCTGCTGTTGCTGAAGCCTTGGCAGCAAACAGCATCTGCCTGCTTAGAAGGAATATGGACACTGTGGAGTCCTGTTAGGGGGTCCCTATAAGGAGGCTACCATTTTTCTTCGAATGATAAGTGGGCCCCCCAACGCAGTGTCCGAGTGGCTTCAGGGGTGGGTTACGCAGCTGCTTTGCCGACGGCTTCACCGAATACCTCAGGTGAATTACAAACAGGCGTGTTTGGCTACCTGATGCACTAATTGGGACCCCAAGGCATGTTTTTTTGCTGCTTCTGTGCATAAGTGGGTAGCTTCATTATCTACAGACTCCCTACATGCAAGGGCCTCCAAATCGTGGGGTTGGCCTGTGCGGGGTACCCAGCAGAAGGATTGTACTGTCCAGAATATGCAAGGGGACTGCTCTCTCTCTCTCCCGCGGACTCAGTTGCCTGTCAGCCGCGCCAGCACACACTCCAACAAGCTTTGCTCAGCACGCGAAGTGCAAAAACCATAGTGGATGGGGATGAATCTATGATGAGGTACCTATCTCCTGCGCAGAATCTGTACAAGGCAAAATGCCACACTGCGATGCAAGGACTTGTCGATTTCTCCTTCGTTCTGCCTTGAGTGCCATCCTCTGAGCATGATGCGACGTTCTCGCAGCCTCCAGTGTGGACGGAAAACTATCAAGAGCGTCCATCTCGGCAGATGCAGAGTGAGCGTCCATCTGTGCAGAAGTATTCCGTGATGCCGCTGAATACCGAGCAGGGATGTGACGTGGTTGCAACGTGAAATCATGGTGTTGAGTACGCTCGGAGGACGAAGGTCTTTCCATACATTGTGCTTCTAAGATCTCGAGACGATCCAACAACTTGTTCATGGAGGCTGTGGTTGCCTGTGTTACGTTCTCAACAACCTTACCGACCCATTGTTTGCACTCATCTTCGGTGTACAGATTGTGCAGTGTTTGTGTCGCAGCTTCTGATATGGAAGTCAGAGCCACATCCACACGAACGGCCACAGCCTCATCGGAAGATGATGTTTTGTTGCCGGGCTGTGTCCGAAGAGCATCATACAAGCTTATCTTCACGGGACGCTGTAGGCCAGTGTCATCAAATTGGGAAGCGTACAAGGCCTTCCAGAGGTATTGCTCTGCAGCATCACTGCTCTCTCGTCTTGCTACCCGGATGGAGTAAGCAATGCATGCACATAATTTGGTCTTGACCATGGCAGCCTAAGACATTTTTGGAAACTCAACATATAAACCCCATGGAAATCAAAAAGTATTCCCGAACCCAGCTGCACCCCAAAGTTGACTCATAGGGTCCTCATTACAGAGATTGGGGTATCTAACTTCCTCTTATCAACCAATATACTGAAGCCTGAAAGTTTGTCTCTTGCCCAGATACGCACTGTAGGATCTGAATCATGGTCACATGAATTTGCTGGAGGAAGAATCAAAATAAGCTGAGAACTCATGGAATTCCTAATCGCCCAAGGTCGCATTATCATCATGCTTCATAATCCAAGAACAACTCGGGCAGCAGCTAGCAGTCCGAACTCACCACCTGCTGAGAGACCTCGGCCTCACCCTGTAGCCGGCTATAAATACAGTATGAGATGTGTGAGCCACAATTCCCGATGTAGACGCGGGGAATTTGATTCATAAAGAACTTACTCTCTCCCATGATTTCCCTACAGGCCAGCTACAGCACCCCAAAATACGGAAGTTTGCCAAACTCCCGACACCCTCCGCTTGCTAACATGGGACCCCTGAAAGGGAGCCTACATAGACTAATGTCCTGTAGGCAGGAGGCTATATGGGGTCCATGTCAGTTCGCTGGAGTACAAGGTCATCTTTTCCCTACAGCTCCAAATTAAGGCCCCTTGGCTTAAGCCCTAACTCGCGTATATCAGCGGCTGGAGTGCATTGATCGAGCCATTCGCAGGACCTCCTCCTTGGAGCGCTTACAGCGCCTGCCAGACGTGGCTGCCTTTGCAGTCCTTGGGATTTTGCTGGATTTCGGTTTTAGCTTAGGGTTTAGGGTTGAGGGTTTCGGACTTGAGGCTCGGATGCATTTGGGAGCTTTGGCTCGAAGACTGTTTCTGGGTAAAGGGTTCAATTTTTGGGCAGCGCTTCAGCTTTTGTACCTAAAACAAACCGTGATGCGATAGCTAGTCGTCTAAATCAAGAGCGAATCCTTCAATCATGCTGAGTCCCTCTCTCAGCCTGCTGACCAAGGGGCACGGAGCTGTTGTGCGGCTGCGTGGCGCTGGGTCCTGGAAGGCCTGGCTGGAGTTGCGGAGCTCCTGCCTGAAACTGCAGCGCTGAGAGCAGGTGCGTGTTAACTTCAGATGTCCCAGGTGTGATGGCCCCGTTGCCCGCCACCTCAGATTGAGCTGAGGACCGTGAGACAGCTGCATGTTTGCTGGAAATCGCTAATGCAACACTACCGACTTACAATGACCTGTCCCGTTCATTGATTTCTGGATGGTAAACCTGGGACCCTTTTTTGAAGGGCATTAACATCCAACCGTAGACAGACTCGGCGAAGACACTTGCCTGCAGAGCTGCTAGGAAAATTCTCACACCTATCCCCCAAAGTGTTTTCCAGTTGCAATGCAATACTTAGGAAACAATGTAAAGAGCAATTTTAGCCAAGGACTCCTTTGCAGTTCCAGGTGTGCTCAAAGCTCTCAATGCTGGATCGATGTGTTCAAGGGCAGCGATGCTGGGCTTTGGCTGCTCCAAGAGCTGTCCTGCCCAAGACTTGTGAGCATTTAAGAATTTAGGCCTTCATGACTTAGGAGGGCTAGGCCTCAGCTACTTCAGGTCCATAGAGCAGATGAAGTACTGTCCGGGGAAGCAAAAACATTGACAAGGCAACCATTGGCAGGGCCGGTAACGCATGTGCACAGTACCCAAATGGTTGGGAGTTTGGATGACTCGTCATGCTTCGGATCCCTTTGACCACGTCCATACACCCCTAAAGCAAGATGTCCGCATACTCCTGCTCCCGAAGCTGGAGTCACAGCTCTCGGGACAGGAGAGGGCAATGCCTTTGGCGGTAGCTGCCGTAGCTGCGGAAAGCCCGCGGACTCTGGTGTGCAGGAGATTGCCTTGGGTCATGGTTGGCCGAAGGGTGAAGATTGGACATGTGCTTGGGTTTCCACAATTTTGAAACTGTACTGCAGTTGTAATTTGATCCAGGGGCGGCGGTTGGACCTGGTTTCGTAAGCCGCGGGCACTTCACCTGACGTCCCGCTCAGACAGAATGCTATCCTTGCTAGCGCCACTACGACTGTTGTGATATTCTTCTTATTAATGTTCATGCTAATTCTATGACTATTCTGTCTTATGGCGCTCTGGCTGTTGCCATTCGCATGTTTGCCGCAATTCCGTGATTCTAATACTGTTCGCAATCGCTCGCCGACCTCGGGCTCCTCTTGGTCTTCCTGCGTGTCAGGGAAGTCGTCGAAAACAACTTCGGCCTTCAGATCCTCTGACACCTTGCCTCAGCGACTTCGTGCTTCGCAGGCTTTGGAACTCAGGGTTTCGGGCAGGACGGAACAAGAAAGATAATAATTCTCCAAAAGCAAAGCCCAATTGCGCTTGAACCCCTCTGATAGGCTCACTGCTGCCCCAGAGGATTCAGGCTTCTCAGCTATGGGGCATGTCAGTGGCTTTGCGGATAGCTGCCTTAGTTGTGCTTCAGCGTCTAGCTCCAACCTCTGTAATCTCTAAAACTTCAAAGTACGTCCTTCCACTGTTGCGAAAATCGGTTGTTCCACATTTAGTTGTAAGACTTATAAGAAATGATGCCAAACATGCTGAGAAGGCGGGTGCTGCACTTCAAAGACAACTTCTATAGGCTTCTTCTCCACAAGCCGAGCAGGATAGATTTCCCTAGGCGGGAGCAACTTCATCTCCTCCAAGAGGGAGCAACGAAAGCTGGGGGCTAAAGGTTGCAGGTCAATCTTGTAAAGTTCAGGAGAAAAGGTTGTAGCCCCCTTTGGTAACTTCGTAGTTTGAGTTCCAAAGCGGGAGCCCTTGACAGCGCACCGTGAAGCACTCCTCTTGTGACTTCACCCTGTCAGTGCCCCTCGACGTGCCCCACTGCTCAGAAGGTGCACAACGTGAGGCCATACCAGTGCCCCTCTCAATCTCCACGTTTCCGGCAGGAACCTGATTGTCAGTGCGAGTGCTATGTTGTGACTGCTACCTTTTTTTTTCTAGCGGTCATTCTCATCAGACTTGTGTTCCTCACCCTAGCTTATAGGCTTCAATCTTTGCTGGTCTCTCAATCCGAAGTTTTCAGCCCCTAAAACTCAGCCAGACAACATCCGCCGGACGTCTGCGACCTAGAAACTTATGTTCTCACTCTCATCCAAGGTCTCCACTGTCAACTTATACAGTCTTTAAGAGGCCCCTCATGCCATGCCCTGCTGGCCCTCATACATCCCAGGATTCTCGAAGGACACTGCCTGCTCAGAACCGCCTGAGATCCCCATCCCACAAATCCTGAACTATCATCTCTACGCTGCAGCTCCAGTAACTACAGCTTAGTAGCCTTGAACTTGTAATTGTGAGGTATAGGGCTTTCGGCCCACGAGCCCACGAACGGGACCTGCTAACATGCCCCGGAGACACCCCTCAATTTCCAAACCATCTTTGAGTCTGAAACCAATCACCCTGGCCCGCTCCATCCTTATTCCAGGCCCTGAACACGAAAAACCAAGTCCTAAGCCCTAAATCCCTAGACCCAAATCAATATGTCAGACACCCCAATCTTAATCTTTGATCCTGAACAAAGTAATGAAACCCCCTTAAACCCCCGGACCCATATCCCTAGTACTCCCCACACCACTATAAAGCCTCAAACCCAAAATCCCCAAACTCTAATCACCAAATCCTGAATCCTAATGTAGACCCATGATTAATAAACGCCCTTCTTTTACGGGCCTAATATTAAGATCCCTATTACAAGGTTTTATTGATCAGGGCTCTACACCCTAAACCCTAAACCCACTAGAGTAGTTTCCATTTGATTTTCCATTATCCCACTATAACCCCAATAGCCCATTTTTTTTAGTTTCCATTTTTTCCATTATCCCAATATGACCCCCAATATGTTATTACCTGAATCCCCAAGCAGCTCGGGGCGTCTGCGAAGGTGGAGGTGAAGCCTCGAGCTTCGTTCGGAGCATTGACGCCTCCTGGGAATTGAGGGAGTCTTAGGTTTAGGGGAATGGGTTATATAGGGCATTATAGGGTTATGTTGGGGTTGTATTGGGATAATGGAAAATAAGACGGAAACGTCTACAACGGATTATGTAGGGGCTTTGAAGAATGCTTAGGGGATGGTGGATTTCAGAGCGTCTAACAGGCTCCATGAGAGTCAGGATTGTAAGGGTCAGGGCTCACAGAGTAAGCGCTATTGATTTGGACAACTTCAAGGGTCAGGGCTGATGAAGAGGGATTTTCCGAAGCTGAGGGTCTTGGGACGTCATGTTTTGAGAGTCGAGAGGGAGCAAAGTTTTTCTCGTACCCGAGGCCATGCAACCCTCAAGTCCTCAACGCCTAAAGCTTAGCTCAAATGTTGACAACAAGAGACCCTGGCAAAAGCATGTTCTTTTCCGGATTTCACAACAACCACCCTTCGAAGACAACATCAATTTGTGGAGGCTCCTTCTAGTCTGACCTTACTGTAGCTACTCCCAGCAATAGCCATTGATGAACGGGACCATTGACATGCTTTTCCTGACTGTGGAAATTGAGCTCCAAGTCAGGCTTGTGTTCTAAGCCCCCTAAACCCAAGGCCTAAACCTTGAACACAATATTCAAACGGGTCAAGGCTTCTGTTTTGGTGCACGAGAGAGTGCGACGGACCGCAGCAAGCTCGCCTTCCAGGCCCGCCTGTAGGTGTTTCTCCAAACAGAGGGTGGGGAGTGACTAGTATAAAGGGCCATTTAGAGCTAGTTCTTGGGATACACTCCCCCTTCAGCACTGGTAAGGTTAAGGGTACGTAGAGGCACAAGATTAAGAGTTTCTGCTTTTGGCAGCTGAAGGGCTTGGGAGCGTAGGCTTGCCAACATGTTGACAGCTCGAACTGCAAGCAGAAATAATGTGAGCAGTTTTGGTGATGTGTGTCTTAAAGCCGGCGATTGAAACTTCTTGTTAATGAGACAGACTAACAACAATGATCTTCACGTCAATAAGATGCTAGGCTTGTTGGGCTGGAGAGATTCTGCACAGTTCAGCTGAAGCCTGCTTACTAACTTCTATGCCGCTGAGATTACTATCAAACCGATATCCAACCCCATTCGAGTGCGCAGAGCTTCACACCCACCATCACCCACCTAAACTTGTAACCCTGATCCCTTTGAACCCTAAGATCCGAAAAAGCCCACGCCGCCTCGCGGGCCCTCGCAGCTCCCAGCTCTGCGGCCAGGAGCTCATGATCAGCCTGGCGAGTCTAACCCATGCAGTAGACAAAGGAAACTGCAATCCAATTTAGAAAGGTCTTCTGAGTTCAAACCTGTTAGTCCACAGCATCCATCACCCCCGCTGACTTGAGCAGCAAGGATCGCGATAGAGGAGATTGCCGTGCAACTAGTGATGGCCCCAACATTGTCTGGATGAGGGTCCTACCTCCCTCTCTGCCAAAGCTTGGATTCGTGAGCATGACTCTACTCTAACCCAGCCATGTTTGGCGCGCGTGAGCCCTTGTCTCGGATTTGTTGCAGGAAGGAAAAAACAAAGGTTGTGCGTTTTCGGAGCTCCCTAATGACGTTTATTCGTACCTATTTGTCGTAGGTTCAACACTGTCAGTAGCAGGCGACTATCTGCCCCTCGAAGCGAAAAAGGATCGCGGGGCACCTAGTAAAGGGACGTGTGGAAGAACTCTACAAGTAGCATCAGCTTGCCTTGTGTTGTAGGCTGGTCTGAACGGATGGATGGCCATCAAGTGTACTGCAGCAAGGATTTCATAGTGCCCATTCCGCGGAAAGTGCCGGTCGAATGGGGATGCATCGAAGCTACATGGCTTACCCACGTCTGGCTCGTGAGTGATGTCATTACGGCTAAGATCCATGATTGCACCAATGCACAAACTGCTGGTGCACATGTGATTTAACGCGCAATGAGAATGAATGCTGCCGCCAATGCTCCCGTTACAAATACCGCTACCTGCTTCTTCTTGCTATGCATTAATTGTAAAACAACAACGACTGCGGCGACTACGACTAAACATGAAAAGAACGATTCTGCTGGTCCGCGAAAAAATGGCCTTGGCTTGGCGAAGGGAAGCTTGCAGTTCGGTGCCACTCGCCTTGGCGGCCGACAGTTGACTGCCTCAGTTCCGGCGTGTTTTTTCTTTCACTGTGTTTGCTTCTTCTTTTCTTTGGGGGTGGAAGGGGCGGGGCTGCGCGTGAGGGGAAGAGCACACGAGCGCGACAAATGTCGCAAGAATAGTAGCAGCGACAATGAACCTCTGAAGGTGCCTTTCTAAGAAGGACCTGTCAAGATGTCTACGGGCATTTACAAAGCCCCTCAAACGAGAAATCCAGTAAGAGCCTACATATACGTGGAGCTTTCCAAGAAGCATGGGATGCGTGAACAGCGACTAACAGGCTTTGCTGCACAACCAGAGCAATAGCCCTGAACGAACAGAATCAAGGCCACCAATAAACCTCTGAACCAGGAAGCACACCCCCACACCTGCAATAAATGATGATTTTGGTAATCCCTATCTCTATAATGACGAAAGCACTGTAAGAGTCATGTAGTATTCATGGGGTCCTTATTCGGGGTGTGGGGTAACCCAAATCCTCTACCTTGACGAAGTTGCGGAGACGTTCAAGCTCTTGCACAAGCGCCTCGTGCTCCTTCTGGAGCTCCTTGGTATTAAGGGGACTTCGGTTACCCCAACCCAAGCCATGAGGAACCTATGGGTGGAGGCCATTACTCAGGACACGGGGGAGGCAAAAGGTTGAAACTGAAAGCCTCAGCAGGGCAAAAACATCCTCCCGAAATCACGCAACATCTCGCAAAAGCAGAGGCTCGATCTCCAATGCCAAAGCCTGGCAAACCCCTGTTCACCCCCCAAAAGCTCAACAGGATCCTGACGCGGCCAGAACTCGAAAAAACATATCAAGTCGATATCCTAGAGCCCAAGTCCTGAAAACTCAAACCCCTGAGCCCAAAATCCTATCACCATGATACTCGCCATGACTCATTGTCTATATTTGTCTTGGACATTGTCCCCCGTTCCCACCTTCACCATGTATTACTGCTGCTACAGCCATTCCATTGCGCTGACTGCTACTCTCACCGAGCTGCGGCATGCCGCTGGGTGCTCATCTTCTCCCGCTCATAGAGAGCCCTCATATTGCTCAAGTCCTACAGAGATGCACTGCTAGCAATACCATTTAGCTTGCAGGTATGTTTTCTTAGCTTGAGGATTGCAACAGAATATGTGTTGTTGTCCTGATGACCGTTACCGCAAGTAAAGCTCAAGGCTTTGCGTAATTCCTGCAGGGTGTGAGAGGACTTCAGGGTTTCTGGAGCCCAGGGCCTGAACGGCCCGAGCAGTGCACCGTATGGCGAGCTGGAATGAAATGTGAGGGTTTCCAGAAGTTGGGAGTCCCTTTTTGGGGCCTCGCGTTGTTGAAACAATATCTCCTCAGACGAGAAGGCTGACGGCGCTCCAAAACTATAGCTTCTCGGTCCCACCTCATCTGCTACACCTTTTGCCAACTGGCGTTCACCCTAGAACTGTGATGTTTCTTTCTCACAGTTGCTCTCCTCCCGATGTCAACAAATCCATTTGGCTACTGTTTGGCCTATTCTTCTGCGGTTGGTGGCGATACACCATCGAGTGTGCTATTGGTGGTCAAATGTCTTACCATTTATTCCCCACCCTCGCAGTGGGGTTGTTAGATTTTAAAGTAGATGTTGCTCTCGCCCGACTGGAAGCTGACTTAAGTGACCAACCACCAAGTATCCCTGCAGTGCCCAACCACCAAGTGTCCCTGCCGTGCCCAACCGCAGAGTAACCACCAAGTATCCCTGCAATGCCCAACCGCAGAGTATCCCTGCCGTGCCCAAACACAGAGAATCCCTGCAGTGCCCAACAACCAAG